AATAGAATTTTGAATAGCGAAGTATCATATTGCATCATTTATACAGGTTAAAAATAGAGGCACCAATGCTGCTAGAAGAAAAGCAGCGCTTTCATTAGGTTGTCTCCTTGCATGCATGATACAGAGCACATCTCTCAAGAGAAGTGGCTGACTTCAGATGAGAAATCCAACAACTAGTTACCACATGTTGAAGGAGTTCTTGAATAGCGAGTGTTTTGTAAGAACTTCTCCAGAGCAAGAACTTCTTATTCAGCCTTGCTACTGAGCAGGCACCAGGAGAGCTGAGACATCTTAATGCTCTCCTCAGCAATCCTGGGTCCCACAGTCTTCAAGCAATAAACCATGAATTATTTCATTTGGCATTTGGGGTGAGGTTGCACTATCCCATCAGACCAAACTTTCTCAGACAGATGAGTCACTCCCTTGGTGATTACAGCCAAGTGCTGGCACAGCACATAGAGCAATGCAAGCGTGGAAGGGCAGGAGGATGCAAACCAGCTCTGGAACTCACCTCCCCAGTGACACAGCCACTACCTGTGGGCAGGCTGACAACTCACATGGATTGTGGCTACCTGTGTGTTGATGGGAGTAACCTGTTCCCCTTGGTGCTATTCATGCACAAGGCTGGAATGTTGTGGCAGAGGTAGCATGACATGAAAGCTTAGGAAGAATGTGACTTTCAGCTGAAATATTGTAAAACACAGAAAGCTGTTTTAAAAATTGCCAAAAACACAGCACATTCTCACTCAACAGATTTGGTAATTCAGTGTGCTATTTGTTCACTTTACTGATAGCACTAATTTGCAGTTTGCACTTTTCCATTCTGCTCAAAGAACAGAGGTGACACAGCTATGAATAAGTTGGCAAGACACTACTGGCTTCCCCACTCTGCCTTAACCCAGAGGTTGCATGGTTTTAACTAGACCAATGCAATTAAACAGATACATTTGAAAGGAGAAAGTTCAGCTCAAACAGAGTAACTGAGCTACCAAGAAAGGAAATGAGCTACACCTGAATTCCCATTTCTATAAACCAATGACGTGCAGTGGTATCAGGAAAAGGGAATCACATGTCTATACCACACTGCTTTACCAGTATAAATGATCTGTGTAAAATCAGGCTGTAAGACATCAAGTTTTTATATTTTCATCTGTTGCAAAGATTTTTTTCTGTTGTTAAAGCATGAATTGACAGAAATATGCTGTCACTCCTCCCACTGCAAAAATTTCAGTTCCATTTGTTTGCTTATTAATTGACTAGGCTTTGTTCTGATTTTCAAGGAAGGGTCCCCCCAAAACAGACATATAAAACATTTAGATACAAATACTGACTTCCTTGCATAAATATAAAATCTATTCTGTGGCTACAGGAGCATTAAATTCTCAATGAGAACTTTGCAAACCCTTCATTTAACCAACGCCTCCCAAAAATAGGAAGCACCAGCTTTTATTGATATTAAAGGAATAAAACAACATGGAAAAACTGTCATTACATTCCATGGGTGCCCAGTCACCACACATTTCAGGTAAGTCTTGAGTAGGCCAATATTATTCTATCACTTCAATAAACACAACCACCAAAAAACTTGGAGGTATTTTACTAATATTCTCATGTTACATTTTAACTTTACAAAAATATTGCACATAAAAATTAAAATCACTTAGTGCTCTGTGTGTTTGAGAGTATTATCCTCAAGATTTGTGTAGTAATGTGAAACCATTGACTTATTTACTCCCATGATTGCTTAGCTATCAAAATGTCACAAATCTTGGATATACAGGCACCCATGGATTGCTCTCCTGTGGATCCCCGACTGCCTCCTCTCTTCTATTTTTGCCTAAGGGTACAAAAATTGTTATTTCCTTTTACCATTAGGGGAGAGCAATCTTCCTTTTGGTAACAGTTTTAAAAGCAGATTTTATAGACGTGAAAGATATCCAGAACTGCACATACAGTAACAAACACATGCAAAAAAATCAGAGTGCAATATTTCTAACAGTTTTCAAAAAACATGTATTTTTGAAGAGCATATTTATTTTACACATTGCTTACCTCAAGAATGAATCTGAGGATGTTTTTTATTATATCAAACATACCTTCAAAATATCTTTTTCTATTTTGGCCTTGTCTAGACATCAGTTATATTTTTAAAACTTCGTATTTTCAGTTCCCACTTCTAGAAGTCACTTTTGGGTTACCAAAAGCAGCCTCAGTGACTTGATGCTGAAGAACATAATCACTATCTAACCATAACATGAGGCAGAAAAGCTACAGAGAAAAAGCACCTTATTTTCCATACTAATATTAAAGTATTAAAGCAAACAACAGCCTTAGTTACCTGCCTTTTGTAGAAAAGGTTCTTAATTTTAAATATGATGCAATCTAAAGCTATATTCTTCCTCTCCCTCCAAAAGATACCACCCCAGGATGTAAAAAATCAGTGTGCTGGTGGTTTACCCAGACAATGTAAAGAGATCTCCAGCTCAAACTGTGTGCACAGGCTGAACTGACAAACATTTACACAGCACACTGCTTCCTTTTCCAGTGTTTGTACTTCAGATCTGGGAGTCTGCATCTCCCCATGACAAACACCTGAAAAAGTCGCAACTTCAGAATGGATTTCATTTTCACTCACTATAAATGTGACCAAAATCCAAGTGAGGAGAAATATTTGGGCTCCTAAATAACTTTGAAAGCTATAGTGTTAGAATATAAAGTGTCTGACTTACACAACCAGTTTCAGTGAGTGCATTTTAGTTTGGTTTCTCAGAATGAACTAGGAGGCTAGGAAAAAGTCATAAATTCTCTAGAGATACAGGATTTTGACAGGCTGTATGTTTTTTAAAGCAAGTTTCACAATTTACCTTCAAAGTCCAGGCCAAATTAGTAAATCCTTCCTGTTGCTTTCATGAGGGAGTATGAAAACACCCAGTAATTCACTTCCTTCCTTTCCAGCTAACAATGTTATTTCCCATCTGCTGATTTTACAAGCCTCTTCTTGCAAAAGTTACACTTCTTGTAGAGTGCACCCTTGTTTAACCAAGATTTGCTGCTTACATAAATGAGTCTTCCTCAATCAGATCCAATACCTTCACACACTGAATTCTCTCAGAAGGAAACAGAGAGGTTCTTTACCTGGAACCCAGGCCAGTGAGGTCCACATGGAGTCAAATTATAACAAATTATACATTTACTACATGGATAAGAGAAACTTTTCCCTAAACTTGCCTTTAGCAGGAAAAGCTGTTCCATAGAATCTATTTTAAATTGGAAGATTACTATAGGAAAATTATCTACAGATGTCTATGGGATTTAGATGAACTTCAAATAAGCTTAAGTAAGTACTTTTCACAAGCTTGTTCTTAAGTATTTAAGCAAGAAGAATGTAACACAGATTGTTAATTGAAAATATTTTGCATCTGTTTTAAAATACTAAATACCCAGAAAAGATAATTCAGAGGAATATGTTTTTCACCAGTTTTATAAATCTCCATGTAGGACTTTATTTATTGGGATTTCAACAGAAATTTCTTAATTAATCAGAATATTCTTTGGATGGAATTTGCATAATATATTTCACAAGAAGATACCAGAAGTTTGTGGGGATTTTTTGGAAGGGGTTCTAGTAAAATGTTCTTACAGCCAAAAGCTTTTTCTCACCAACCGTAATATTTTCACTGTCTTCCAACAATCTGATACATTTTCTGAAATGATTTCATGATAATGAAAACGGATAAACTGTCCTGCACCAGAAAAAAAAAAAAAAAGCCAGTAAACAAAGCTATAGCCAAACTATTTATTTAAAACTGAAGATTCACATATGCATGAGATTTTTTTTTCTCATGGTTTAATTTTAGGCAGCATAATAGATTTTTTTATTACTCAGGCTTCCTAAAGGGCCTCTAAATTAGAAAAATTATTTTCTCCAAATTTTGAAAAAAAATTAAATTTATAGATAAGGAAAAGATTTAAAACAAGTTTTGAAAAAAGCCAGAAGGTCATATACACTGTGGGTTTTGGCTCTGATATGATTACCTTGTTTGAAATGCATACTCAAAGACATGTAAATGTCCTGTGATTTACACAACTTCACACTGCAATCATGCAAACAGCACCCTTGGTAATGGGACTTGTAGTGATAAACCACATTAGTGCATTGAATCTTACAGCAAAGCCTCCAAGTATTGAAAATAAAACAAGAGCTCAGTGAGGTTTTTACTCCAGATACTGGGGTTTAATTTCTGTAGAAATACATGGAGTTGCACAAAAAAACCTACATCAAATCTATGCACCAAAATGGCTGAAAAGGAGAGAATGACCTTTCTTTTTGAAGTAAAGGTTTGTTTGTCTTTTGACTCTTGGATAAATGATTATGCCATTTGAGTGTATCCATACATGAGCAGTTTTAAGAAAACAAACCAGCACATTCAAAGCTGCGGTAACTTTCTGCTGTTCGTCATCTGCTGCAAGAGTAAAGATGGCCAGAATTCTTGATAAAGGGCAAAAACTATTTCTTTTTAAAATGCCTTAATTCTCTGAATTTAAACATGTATTTTCTGTGTTATTCAATTTTGTGTTTATGTATCAAAAGCACCAAAGGGATAAATATTTACTACTCCATTGTCAAAACTCCAAAAACACCAGTGAAATTATTGATGTGTAGAAGTGCCAGTCTCTTGAAGAAAGAATTCCAAGTGGTCAACAGTTTATCCTGAGTGCATCAAACTGCTCAAAGAATTTCTTTTGCCTCCACTGTACAAATTAAAGTTAGCATTTTAAGGGTTCAGCTTACTCCCTCTCTTCACCTCAAATATATGCTATTTGCTCCTGATTTTGTGGAAAATTTCAGTTCATAGCCCTTTTTTCATAGTTTTGTTATGTTCATCTAGGCACCTGAGCAAAACATACCAGAGAACAGTTCAGCAATGCTCGTTTTTAAACTATCTTTGATTATATAATTTTTTTTTCCAATTACATGCTTTCCCACTTTGCTAAAATATCTATTCACATGCTACATGTTGAATAAAATTCTCCAAGTCAGCTAGGGAATCATAAAGAGAATCATCTGTGTCCTGACTTGTGAGAAACTTTCGAAGGGTATCTAAAGCACTCAAAGCCTCATTTTTGGATGGTAAAAGCTGTTCAGCTCCCTGAAGTTGATCACCTTCATCCTTATCTTCATCACCAACAAATGTCTCAGCTTTATCTGATGCACTTTCTTTGGCACACATTCTTTCATTATTTGTGGGCACTTCATAAGTGACCAAGCCATCATCTATAGCTGCATATTCTTCCAGAGACAAACCTTCTGGAAACTCTACTCCAGCTGCCCGTGCATGTGCAATCAAATCCAAATCACTTTTGACTTCATTGTCATTTTCATTTGTCTCAGTTTCTAATTTGGAAGTTGCTCCATTGCAACTTTTTGCAATAGTCTCTGGTGTTACTTCCCTCCAGCACAGGTACAGCATCTCAATTGCATCAAGAAGGGTCAGCATAAACTCTTTATTACTTTCTACACAGTCAACAAATCTCTTGATAAGACAGTGCCTGTATTTTACCTTCAGACTTCTGATAATCCTTTCTTTCATAGCTATACATGAAGAAGAGTCTGGAGGAAGGAACACTGATTTGACAGACTTCAGGTTCTTTACTTCTGTGTGAGCTGGGAGAGAATTAACAAGAATAACCACTCGACGCTGCTGTGCTTGAAATCCTTGATCGAGTTTGTGCATCCACTGTTCAAAGATTCCTGAAGTCATGCACGCCCTATCATTTGCTTCATAATCCACTGGCAGCGATTTCACATCTTTGAAAGAGTGTGGACTTTTGCTTTTTCCTATGATGAGCAGTGGGAGTTTCTCAGAGCCATCCATATTTGTACCCACCACTACAGTGATGCTCTCTTTGCTTTCTTTGCCTTCAGAAAAAGTTTCCCCTTTAAACGTAAACGTGTTATGTGGTAACATCTGATACAACAACCCGGTCTCCTGTATGTAAAACACATTTTTTGGCTGATAATCATTTAAATAACAAGGAAGCACATTTTGGTACCAAAGAGTTGGAGCACCCACTGCAGGAGTAGCAGCTGCTTCTACAGGCTGAGCTCTGAAAACTAAACCGTACCTCGACTTGAATCGATCGAGCCAGCCATTGCTGCATTTAAAATCACTGTGTCCAAGCTTCTGGGCAAAATCATTCGCCTTGAGGCGCAACATGGGGCCATTGACCGGCACATTCAGGCACTGCGCAATTCTGTACCACTTCATCAACGCTTCCTCCAGGTCGGCATAAAAAGCAGTTCTCAGTCTTTTCCTTTTAGGATCAAACCGCAAAGTTTCAAAGGCTTCCAAAACTTTTTCCTTATTCTTCATAATCGAAGACAGTGAGTTCCTCTTGATGCCATACTTGGCTGCAATCTCCGCCTTTTTCTTGCCGCTCTCCACAGCGCTTATGATGTCGATTTTCTCCTCGATAGTTATGCTTTTCTTCCTCCTCACTGTGGCTTCGGGCAGACCCTCTGCCATGGCACCGAGCAGCGTCTCCCGGGCGCGCTCATCCGCGCCCACAGCCGGCCGGGCTCCTTCCCTGCCGCTCCGGCCCCGACCGCAGGGGCTCGGCTCGGCGGGGCTGGCGCAGCCTGCCGGGCGGTGCCGGCGGTGGTTGCCATGGCTGCGACCATAGACATGACGGCCTAGAGAGGCCGCCGCCGTCATCCCTTTCCGGCCCGGCGCTTCCGGCTCCTGGTGCCACCGGAGAAGGAAGAAAATAAAGCTTGAGAGGGGCCGCCGGCGCCGCCCCGCCCGGCCTGCTCCGTTCCCCCTTCCCTCCTGCCCTGCCGTCCCCCGCAGCACGACGCCCCCGGGGCCGCAGCGGCGCCGCCGGCAGGTGAGGGACGGGCCGGGCCAGGCCGGGGCAGCCGCTGGGCCCGGGTTCGGGGAGGGCCGGGCCGCGCCTCCCGCTCCGTCCCGTCCGACGTGTCACCCCGCGGGGGCGGCCGCGCTTCGCCGGGCTCCGGGCCGCCCTTCCCCGGGCACCGGCAGCGCCCGGCGGGTCAGGGTCGGCCCGGTGCGGGCGTGCTGGGCGGCAGCACAGGGAGAGCAGCGCCCTGCTCGGGAGCAGGCGGGTTCCACGAGAGTGAGAGAGAGGGAAGCTGTGTGTTGGTGGAGGAAGAAAGCTCTAGATGCTGTGTTAATTTTGTGCCCCTGGGAGTTATTCCACACCCTGGCAATTACTGTTTTAAGTATGCCAATTTGTGTTTTGCTTATGTTCTTAAAGCATGGAAGCGCTTTGGTGTTGTGCGACAAGCAGGTGTTGCATGTGTAATTGTCTCCAAAGGAGTGGCAGTTCTTCCAGAACTTCTTATAGTACCGCTCTAATGGGTTATTTTTAACTGAAAGCCACTAATAGCCTTTAATTGCATGAAAGTCTTTGGAGGGGATCATTCTGAACATCCAGCCCAGGATGTAGTTTCTGTTTCTCACGTGTGCTTTTTATGCTTGGTGGAAAAGGTAGCAAGGAGTTATCACTTTGCAGTCGGCGGCTCTGTTACTTAAGAGTTGATTCTCTGGAGAAGATAACAGAAGGGTTCTTTTTGCAGGGCTGGAGAGGGATGTCATTTGATCAGTGCAACTCCAAAACTTTCTGAATCATGTTTATGTAGGTATGTGCATGTGTACTCACACAGTTAAAATGTCGGGAATAAGAAACACAGAAGAGTGTTAGATTGGCAGAACTGGAAGCTGAGGCAGTAGCTTGATCAGCTGGTTTTTTTCTGATTTGATAGAAGTTGAAACCATAATGGCAGCCCATGGCTCAGCTAATCTGGAGATGAGCAGAGCTTTAAATTGTTTAGGGCCGGGTTGATGTAGCATGGAGAATATGAAAGTCAGCAGCAGCCCTGTTCTCCAGTCTTCTTCTCCATCATGTCTTCTAACTCCCAAGCATAATTAGATCTTGCAAGTGCAGCAACCAGGAAATTCAAGAGCATTAAGAAGAAACTATGGTGTGATTGCAGCAGGAAGTGTTTAATACAGTTCCTTATAGTACTTTTTTTTTTAAAAGTATTACTTTTATAGTATAGTACTTTTTTTTAAAAAAAAAAGGTGGTTGATCTCTATCTTGACAAGAATTAGTGAAAGTGTCTTAGAAATTGAAATAGTCATTAAAATGGTCATTTTTCTACCAGAGATTTTCTTCAGTGTTACAAAAATTTACATTCTTTATGCAGTTAAGTAGTAAGACAACGATAAAAGTGTGTAATAAACTTCATTTTAAACATAAGATATCTTGCTGTTGTCTTATTGGTAATTGATTTAGGAGAAAAGTAAGTGAAGGAACCAGTGAATCTTGCTTAGAAAAGCTGATCTGATTCTTGAGAATCCCACAGTTCTTATTTCTGAGACCATCAATCATTTACCTAAGTGATGTAAGTATGTGAGTAATATACTTCTTATTCAAAATTAATTTATTGTTGATGATATTTACTTCATATTTTCATGAATAAGCAAATATGAATTTGCCTTTTTAATGAAAAGTACATAAGTATGCTCTTTTAACCATTAATTATAGATGGTTAAATGTCTCTTTATGTCTCCATCCTAGAGGAAGCTTACTATGTTGTTTATAAGTTCTTGCTTTGCTTTGCTTTTTATTTTGCCAGTTGAAAAAGTGATACTTAAATCCCCGGGACTCAAAAATCATGTGGTTTAATTTATGATGAACAAACCTTGAAATTACCGAGGCTGTAATCCAATATGCATTCAAGGTAGCTGCACTATGAGGGGAATGACTCTCAGTCTGATCTGTGTCTTCTCTTCTGCTGTGGTGCAGTATTTGTGTGGATTTGCACAGTTGGGATGGGAGGTAAAAGAGAACCCAGAAGGGCAGGAGTGATGTGGACAGGTTTTGTTCTTGTGGAACCAAATATGGATCAAGCATGTTTTTTCCAAGTAGAATCTCTTTGAGTTGTTCTGTTGCAGCAGATGGTAGCAAATGTCCTGGTACAGCAGTCACCTAATGTGTTCTAAAGTTGTGGCTGCTTTAGTGAGGAAACAAACCAAGCCCTGGGTAACACAATCCATGCTGTTCTGGGGATTAGCAGCTTCTTACAAAGAACAGCCCCTTGTCTGGCACCTGCAAGAACTACGGAGATGCTAAAGTCTGTGTGCATTTCTGTAGTGGAACTTTAAATGATAGATGTGTGTAGATGTTGTGATTACCACAATTTCACATGAGTGTCTTCGCTTCTGAATCTTGATGAAGATGTAGAAAGTTTTCATCCTTGCATCCAGTGTTTGATGCTTACATCCCCATTTTTTTCTGTAAAAGCAGTAATCAGGAAATTCTGCAGTTAAATTGGAATGTGCAGTTGAACTTTGTATGAAAGCCACCTTTAATCTACATTTTTTCGCCTTCTCATGTTTTGAAATTGATCACTGTGATCCTGCAGAGCTGCATTGAAACTGTTAGTACTACCTGTAGGAAAAGAACTCTACAAAATATTGATCATGGAGAGGTGTTCTAACATAAATGGTGAATTCATTTGGGTTTTAAAAAATTAATTATTTGCCTTTATGCAGTGTCTTCTACATGGATTTGTGAGATGGTTCTTGCCCCTAGGTTCTTAAATCTTTCAAAAGTTCTTAAATCAATCAAAAATGTTTTTGCCTGTAGCATTTAATAGTTTAGAACAGTGTTACCATGGTACATAGGCTTGTATATGATGAACAAATATGACTCCAGGAACACTGATGTGGTAGAACTGAAGAACAGATTGTCTTAAAGAAGGCTCTGCCACAAGATGAATTTAGCTTTTTGTTTAACAAGTAGAGCAAGGAAGTAACGCTTATTGTCCTATTCTATCATGTAATTGTTTTAGCTACTCCGAAATAAGCTGTAAAGCACAGAGGTTTTCAGCCACAAGCAGAGTTTGAACAGGACCATGTGGGCAAACAGCATCTCTGCTGTACAGTCTTCCATGTTCAAAAGAAATTTGAAAAATTAAGGAAGCTATATAAGGATGTTAAACTTATTTCTTAATTACCTCAAAGGGAGTTTTATACTGATCCTAGAAAAATCCAACTTCATTCAGTGGTAGCCCTGAATGAACTGTTTTTCTGGAGAAAACCTCTTATTTTACGTATTTGGTTTTCCAAAATAAAGTAATAGGTTATCCAGTGCAATACGATCTAGATGATCTAGGTGATTCAGTTTCTCAGCCTTTGTGTCCTTATTTTATTTCTCCTGCTATGTGAGCTGCTTACCTTATTAATTATTTGCTTTAGTTAGAATGTTTTATAGGTCAGGAATTTGAAATACAATATAAACACAAATAGCAATCTCTTTATAAATTTTCTTAATCTGGTATGTGTCTGAACATGTATGAAATAGTGCAAGACTTAATGAACTGAAGTCATGTGTGATTGTATGCAATACTGGCAGATTAATTAATTTTTAATGATTGGTTGTCTCCTCCTCTCAAACAGCTGAGTGAATTGTGGTGTCACCTGTAGTTACCAGCTATTTGGAATCAAATTGAGATAATTTCTTTACTTAAGATAAAATTGTGTATGTAATTCATCTTTCATGATCGCTATATTCACAGAGTTGATTTCTTTCTCATGTGCTTAGTGTTAGCAACTTTCTTTGCTTCTGCAGCTGAGATCTTTTTGAGGCTAAAATGAAAGGGATTCTGTTCTAGTAAACACAACAGATTTAACAGCTTAATAAGTTTCAGTGGCTTAGCATTAGTGTAATCTTGCAATGTTTGGATAAATCTTACGCCTTAACAAAATGGTGATCTTTGCAATGGTAGGATACAGTCAGTGTACTGTTGCAAGTGGCAGGATATATGTCACCTGAAGAACCTTGTTTGACTTCCAGGGTTTTATGTTTCAAGCTTAGTTGTCTGTGGGGAAAGGTTGCTTTGGCAGTGGAAGCTTACACTAGACTGTATTCCTAATCCCTCTTAGATTTTTGGAGAGCTGAAGGCCTGGTCACTATCAAAAGAAGGAGGGTTCAATTTGCTTTAGCAGAACTTGTAAAATAAATGTTTTCTGAAAGCCTGCTTTGGTTTCTGTGAGGTGCAGCATCCAGCTCCTTTCACTTCAATTAATGCATGCCAAACCTGTTTGGTTTTCAGGTATGTCAGAACACAGCAGTGAATCCACAACACTTGATGAGTCTCATCCATCTGCAGAAGAGATCCAGTCTGGCTGTGAGGTGATTGGGTGATAGTTATATTAGTGTAAAATCAACCAATCCTAACAAGTTTCAGATTCCCAAAAATTCTGCTTTACATAGCACAGTGTTGTTAGTATGGGGATATAAGTTCATGCACAGCATCTTGAATGGGTGGGGTTGGTTTTGAGACACCATTAATAACAGTCCAATTAATTCATAGCAAAGGATTACTTCAGCCAGTAGCCTGTTGCTGTGCTGCAGTATTTGTTTTGTAAATTGAATAGATTTAGGCATGGTAGAATCTGAAATGTGTGAGTATTGCAGGAAGAAAGGGTTGGTATTTAAAGGCATCAATCTTTGTGTAACCTCACTATAACAAGGTGTTTTATCTACTGCAGAAGGACTGAATCTTTTTTTCTCTGACAGCAGATACAGTTTTCACCTTCTCTATGGAGAAGTCTGTGATTTGAATTATGAACAAATTCCTAAGGTTCCCAATATTATTTAGCTAATCAGGTGTGTTTGGGATGCT